TCATCTGCCTCGAAGCATAGTCTACGACTTTCCCCTGCTGCATAAGGACACATCCCAAATCCATCTTCGAAGCATCACTATAGATCGTGAACTCCAAAGTAGGATCGGGTATAGATAGGACAAGCGCGGTAGTGAGTCTCCTCTTCAACTCCTGGAAACTCTCTTCGCACTAAGGACTCCAATCAAACCTCACGGCTTTCTTCGTAAGGTTGGTCAGTGGCTGGGCTATCTTCGAGAAGCCCTCGATAAACCTCTTGTAGTATCCTGCTAACCCCAGGAAACTACGAACATCCGCTGCACTTTTCGGCGTATCCCACTTGCTCACTGCCTCGATCTTGCTGGGATCCACCTCAATGCCTCGAGCTGTCACAATGTGGCCAAGGAATGCCACACGGTTCAGCCTCGAGCTGGGATACAACTTCTCACGGCGAAGAGTCTCCAGCACAATCCTCAGATGCTCCTTGTGCTGATCGATATCCCGGGAATAGACCAGGATGTCGTCGATAAACACAATGACGAACTGGTCCAGGAAGGGATGAAAGACCCTATTCATAAGGTCCATGAAAATGGCTGGGGCATTGTTGAGTCCGAACGACATGACTACGAACTCATAGTGGCCATAGCGGGTACGGAAAGCAGTCTTAGAAATATCCGACCCTCGGATCTTCAGCTGATGATAGCCAGAACGCAAGTCAATCTTTGAGAAAATGCTGGCTCCCCTCAGCTGGTCGAAAAGGTCCTCGATACGGGGAAGGGGGTACTTGTTCTTGACTGTAAGGGCATTCAACTCCCGATAGTCAATGCACATGCGCAAAGATCCGTCTTTCTTCTTCACGAATAGGACGGGCGCACCTCACGGTGAAACACTCGGACGAATAAAACCAAGTTTGAGCAACTCCTGGATCTGGGCCATGAGCTCTTGAAGCTCCTTCGGCGCCATACGGTAAGGGGCCTTAGAAACGGGTTCGACTCGTTGAACTAGGTCAATGGTGAACTCCACCTGGCGGTCGGGCGGTCCTCTGGGCAAATCATCAGGAAAGACGTCGAGGTACTCGCAAACAATAGATACTCTCTCGGGCACCCACTCATCAACAACATCGGATACCAAGGAAACAAGATAGCCTTGACAGCTACCCTTAGAAAGGCTCTTCCTAGCTTGCATAGAAGAGATGACCCGAGGCACAGTCCTCGAAGTCACCCCAAAGAACACGACAGGCTGATCGGAAACAGGATAGAGGGTGACTTCGCGCTCCTGGCACCGGATATCGGCTAGGTAACGGGTGAGCCAGTCCATGCCCAAGATCACGTCAAAAGTCTTGCATATCAATAATATAGACGTTGGCCTCCAAAACTCGACCACCAATACAGATAGAAAGATTGCGAACCAGTTAATCAGAGATAAAAATTTTTCCCGAGGCTAAACTAACCTCGAGATGATCATAAGCATACACGGTGCCAATAGATAAAGCCTCCAAGCAACGAGAAGAAATAAAAGAATGGGTAGCACTGGTATCACATAAAGCAAAAACATGCACATGGGATATCGAAAGCATTCCGGACATGGTACCTACATTGCGGGCGGCCTCATCGTGGGTGATGGTATAGACTCGGGCCTGACCCCCAGCCCTCTGCTGAAACGGTGGGGGATGCTGATGCTGCTGATGAGGTGGCGGTGGGGGAAGCTGCTGCTGACGCTGTTGGGGAAGGGCCTGCTGGTGCTGCTGTCTCTTCGGTTCGGGGCAGACACTGGCATAGTGCCCCAGACGGTTGCAATTGTAACAAGCTCGCTGGTCTGCTAAGCACTCTCTGGTGTGGAACCTGCCGCATTTAGGGCACCTCGGCTGTTGACCCTGAGTGGGTCGGTCGTCACGTCTGCCGAAGTTTCCTTTCTTTCCCTTTTTCTTGTTCTAATAATCGGATTTTCTCTTGCCCGAGCTAGAGCCGGGCGACATAGATGAGATGGGCTGAGCGTACTGAGCAACGGTCTGAGTAGGCTGAGAGGCATGATAATAAGAAGGAACTGGAGCCAATGGAATGAGACACCTCTCGACCTCCTGAGCCCGACTCACGGTATCTGCATAAGACATCAGTCCGTGACTCCCCACCAGTTCACGGACCCTCTGATTGAGCCCCTTGAGAAACTTGCGGGCCTTCTTAGCATCGGTATTCACTGAGTCGCCCGCAAAAAGGCACATGCAGGTGAAAGTGCGGATATACTCATCCATTGTGGAGCTGCCCTGCTGCAAGTGGTATAACTCATGCTCCATCCTATCCCAAAAGCTCTGGGGAAGGAACTTGTTGCGCACCATCACTTTCATCTGCTCCCAAGTAAGAGCATGAAGCTCCGCCTCTGGCCTCTGGGCCCAGTGGTCAATCCACCAGTCAGAGGCGTCCTCCTTTATCTGATAAGGTGTGAGGGATACCCGCTGATGGTCCGGGAGGGGGAGTACCACAAAAATCGTATCCAGCTCTTTCATCCACTCCAAAACCGCTGTGGGGTTCTCAGTCCCCGCAAAAGTGGGCGCATTCATCCTCTGAAACTGGACGATAAGCTGAGTGAGGTCCATGGCTAGAGGGGCCTGATGATGACGACGAGGCGGGGAAGGAGTCGGGGATGGCTGACGGTTACGGTTGTAGCGGGTATTCATGATTCTACATTGAATAAGCCGGACAAGGTTAGCACAAAACAAACAAGATAATCAATACTTATAGAAGTCTAGAGCTTGCCAATGAACACTAGAGTTCGATTAAATCAAGGTGGATAGATCCTAAGCTCCAAAAATAACAAGTACCTCACAAGTAGTTTCATTGTTACATGTGTATCATTCACATAACAAGTATATTCATTAATACTTAAACAAAATATACCTTAAGCAGCACGGAGTGACGGAGACGAGTGGTCATAACACAAGGTCTAAACACATAATCACATATGTGCCAGTCTACAGAAAAGCAGACTGGCTCTGATACCAAACTGTAACACCCCACTTTGATTTTAAAGAAATCCCGGACTTTCTAAAAATCAGAACAAATTTTTCGAATTCATTTTCGAAATCAAGGGTATTAACCAACACAATTTACTTAGTCCAAGTCTTATCTGGACTCACGGGGATTCATAAACCCGATTTTTCACAAGGTTTTCATTAACCTGATTCACACCTCAACATAATATCCCATATGAACAATTAAAACTTCATAAATCAAACACCATGATTATTCAAGGTTCATAAAAGGTTTTCCAAAATATTTTCAAACATCAAAACATAGTTCGAAAACAGTTTTTACATGTCCAAAACATAGAAAGGTTCATAACGACCATATTATTAAAGCAGAAGCAAACGAAACAAATAATAGACCACCACTCATCCTTCATTCGTCCCGTCACCCGGCCACTGCTTAACCTGCATTCGTGAAGAGCAGGTGGGAATGAGCACAAACGATAAAGTAGTGCTCACTACTATGCACATAATAACATGTAAAGATGGTATGGTCGCAACATGAATATAAATCAATCATCATCATGTCTAATCTCCTAACAATCATAACAATAACTCACTCATGTGCACATCTATCATTAGCCGCGGAAAGGGGATGCATAAACCCTAACGACGGGAGTGCGTGCCACTGTAACGGACACAGCCTTTCATTATGTCTTAAGGAGACTTGTCTCGCAAGGGCAACCGTACCGTAACTCGACGGGGACAACCGTACCGACGGCCGTAACAGCTCACATCGGTAGGCCACATGGTTCACATTCATACATTGGTCATACCAACCAAACATTAAACAACACGTATGGCATAGGCAATTTTAGATTAGAACCCACCTGGAAATTTCGGTAGAAAATAGCACACAATCACAAGTACGTAGGATGAGGGCTCGACTCCTCAAACACCTACATTTAAGCGATATAATATATCAATTATCTATCTCACTACTCGAATTTAACATAAAACCCATACTTAATATAAATTAAGACTTCAGGGTTTTAATCGGATTTTTCGTGGACTTGGAACTCTCTCATTTTCGGAAAATATGACTCGGAGAACTAAAATTGGAGTCTCGGGACTTAAAATAATTTTTCCACATTTTTATCATTTGAAAAAATAATTTTTAATATTAAAATCGGTACGAAAAACTAGTTCCAGAACTCAAAATAGGCCAAAAGGCACATTTGGGCCGAGCTGCCAAGGAAATGGATAAATCGGGCCACAGCTAAGGAGGGTTAATGGCCCAAGACTTGGCCTTCTAAGGAAATAAGGGGTGCGGGCCTTTGGGTTGTTCGCGGGCTGGGACTGGGCTTCGCGGGCCGCTGCTGGGGAGAGAGGACGGGCTGCGCGCGGGCTGAGTTCGGGCCATTCGGCCCGCGCGTTGAAGCTGCTTTTATTTAAAAAAAAAGCAAGAAAGCAAATACTGGGGTTCGAACTCTGCACCTCTAACATATATATCAGCGGCACAACTACTGCACCACACGACTAGATGCAACTTAAATGAAGATTTGAGTTACAAAAATCAAAACGAAAGCCTGGGGCCTGATAAAAGAACAGAGATGCAAATTCTCGAGCAGAATGACAGATTTTTTTTTTATCGAACTCAGTCAACAACACTTCCAACATCGACCCGGTTTGGAAAAAATTTTACAACTTTACAATTTAGTACTAATCTCAGAATCGAAATGTTTATAAAAATTGGGTTTCGGTTCGAAAAACATAATGACAATAATAGGTTCGAAACCAAACGAACGGTATAACGAGACTCTGAAACATTAAAACGGAACTCCAAAGCTAAAAGAATTCATCACAGCAAATAAAGGGTTCAACTTATAAACGAGAGTTCCATCCAATCCACATAATTTACGAGTATACGAAATATACGTACGAACATACGTATCAACAAATAAGAATGAACAAAATTCCCATTTCAAATAAAAAGTGATATATGAATACGATCGTAATAACGAGAGGATTCGAATAAGTTACCCAACTTCGGGAAACTACGAGTTATCGGACGGGAAACGGGCCCGACAGCGGATCGTACGAACGGCTTTGAAAACTTGAACTCCTTGAATTCGGTGCTGACCGCGAACGGCTGTCACGTACAGAGGCTTCTCACGACGTACGGTGGGGCTGTTCGAAGGTAGGCTCACCGGAGAAGAAGTGGTCGCTGGAATCAATGGAGGACAGGTCTTCTGTTCGGGGCTGAGGGACGTCGGCTCGTGGTCGGGGCTCTAGCAGGTTCGTACATGAACGGACAGCTTCTGGCCTGACAGGACAACTCGAGAGTTGCTGCTTGTAGTCGCCGGTTTAATTGGCAGACACGCCGGCAAGAATTTAGAAGGCGACTATTTTTTTTTCTTTTTTTTTTTAAACGAGAAGGGGAGTGAGCGAGAGGGATACAGCGGGAGAGATAGAGTGAGATGATGAATTAAGTCTGATTAACGTATATAGACGAGATAGAGGGAGAACGTGCTGTCGGTTGGAGGAAATATCTCACGGAAGAATCGCAGAATAATTCAAACGTGAAGATAAGTGGGAGAGATGAAGATAAGATTGTGGATTTTGAATTTTTGATGAACCAAGATCAGGTAAAACAATTTGGGCCAACTTAAATTAATTTATAATGTATTGGGCCAAGGTATTAATCATAGTAATTGGATTTAAATTAATATTTAGCTAGGGAACACCCAATTTAAATTGGGCCCGAATATTAAATACTCGATCGGGTACGATTGCGACGATAAATTAAACCGAATAATATGTATAATACACACAATAATATTTATAATAATAATAGGCATTTAAAACAATTAGACATTTAATAATAATAATAATAATAATCCAATTATTCATAACCGAACGGGGCGTTACATGACCAACTACCCCCTCAAAGATACTTTGGGCCGTCCTTCAGCCTCGGGGAGGATGGTGAAGTGGGCGGTTGAGTTGGGGGAATATAATGTTGACTTTGAGGTGCGGAAAGCTATTAAGGCTCAGGCGTTAGCCAACTTCATACAAGAGTGCACACTGGGAGATGAGAAGTGACAATGGATGGTGTATATCGATGGCTCATCGGCCGTAGGAGGAGCAGGTTTCGGTGTAACACCCCGCTCATCAGAGTAAATTTATCGCAACTTATTTCGAAACATACTTATAACTTTTTCGAAATAATCTTAACTCGGAATGCTACTAAAACTTAACTTCTTTAAAAATCTGTTTTCTTAAACTCGATAAAACAGATTTAACATTTTGAACAAGTGTGAAACTAAACTCATTTATAATAATAAACAGAAACTTTACTTAATTATCAAACTTCAAATCACACAAGTTCAAATTTAATATTCATAGCGGAAGTCTTTAAGCGTGGCATTTATAAACCGATGCCTTATTGAATTTCACAATCAAACTTTAATAAACTCACAACTGAATGCACCACTGAATGCACAACTGAAAGCACAACCGACACCACAACAGCTGGACTCACACCCTCGGCCCGACCTTGTTACCTGAAAATGATAATAGTGGGACGTGAGTAATAATCAACTGTACTCCGTAAAAACTCATACTAAAGTAAACATTAATAATAATATCAGTATCATGATCACATGTATATATAAGCTTCTCCCGGACATTGGTCCGGTAACTTTAACTGAACTTTGCAACTACCATACTGCCGGTTCTCACGTGATCATATATTGGGGGCTGCCTCCCCAAAACCCATTCTGGACTGGGCGAGTCTTTAACTTACTTAGGATGGCTTATTAAGGCTACCGCGCCTCCACCCCAAGCATAACTTTAACTCATATACATACCTTTGAACATGATCTAGCTATTATACTCAATGTGCTACCCAGTCTGGGTTCCCACCTTTCGTCTTGAAAACAGTTTTGAAAATTGAAAGTGTTGTTCTTGTAGCCGAACTTCTCACGCTACATAAAAATATAAGCAAGAATACTAAGTACTATGCTCCAATACTCTTAACTTTAACTGATAACTTATCCGAATAATATACAAGCCATAGCTCAAATAACATAATACATTGAATAAATCAAACTCTTGATGAACTTCATCCAAAGATAAAACTCAACTCATATAAATCATGCGTTATTACTTAGATGTTGGCTTACAAAACTTGTAAGTGAAATAACTCAAAATTCACATACATAACTCAACATATTCAACTTACCAACATCAAACTTAACTCATGATTTATAACAATTAAACTTGCTCATCCTTATAACTCAATCATAACAATAAATTATGATATCAACATGTTCACTCAACATGTTAAAGCTAAACTTGCACAATTTATGAAATTGCATGCTTATCAACATTTTGATGCTAAACTTATCAATTTACTCATCATCAACTGTGAAACTCATACTCTTATACTTAACATGAATAACACATCATATTAAGCTATCAACTTATAACTTTATCAACTTCTCCTCATGATATCTCATATCAATAACATGAAATGGATACTATTATGCCAACATAAACTAAATCATTACTCAACTTATAACTCATGCATGATATCAAATACTTAAATTCTAACAAGAATCACTTATACTAATTATGCTTTGCTAATAACATTATTCAATCATCAAATACAAGCATGAATTACCTCCTTAAAGGACTTGAAATTTGAAAGACTTGATATGAACTTGAATTTGAACTTGAATATCTTGAACATCCTTTACTCCAAAATACTTCTCCTTGTTGGAACCCATGAGGATCTCGATATGCACAAATCACAGACAAACATTCAACATAAACCTATGCGCAGCGGATCTAGAGGTTTGATGAAGAAAACTTACTGCTTAAAATTTATGTAGATCTGGCTGGCCCGGACAGTTGACCGCAAATCAAATCTTCTCGGAATCGAACAAACTTGAACAATCCAGAAAGCTGACGTCACGGCGAAGTCAATGGCGTTGACCGATCGGAAAACGGACTTCTCACGCGCGACGACAAGATCCAGCAGCAGCTTCCTTCAGGCGGCGCGTGCGGGCGCGTGTGGCGGCGTGCAGCGGCGATCTCGACGGCGATCTCTTCGTCTCGTCGTCCTGGTCGTCGTGGTATGGTCACTTATTGGTTTTGGTCTCCGGTTTGGATGTATGATTGGAATCTCTATATACCTTAAGATCTTCTACTGTATTCTCAAACAGCTTTCTAGATCTTGTATCAGTGGAGCACAAGAAATAGAAGAACTCCTTGGAAGAGAGAGAAAGAGAGGGCTGGACGTTTCTCAAGGATTATGGGATTGTTCTGTACTCTTCCATGAGCCTAATGCTGTATATATAGA